CACACCTCTCTTCTTTTATGTGCTTGCTGCTCTGTGTGTGGGTGTTGAGACCTAATTGGTATTTAGACCCCAATGATTACAGTTAACATTTTAGTCAGCATGTGTCATAATAAGACAAGATTCATTTTCTTACAGTAAAGTGAATGAAAACCAGACTCATAAATGTCCATTTATTGCTTAATTTATATTCTTCAGCTAACCAGTAAATGAATCTGCAACTCACCACTAATGCCGAACGTGCTTGAATGTAAGATTTTCTGAATAGTACATTCTTCTTATTTTAATTTAATTGTTGTTATTGTTCTTGTGACTGCAATTAAACGTAATCTGGGCAAAGCTGTAAATTTAAAAAAAAAAAAGAAAAAAAAAAAAGAGCACAAACCAGAAGTGGTTTTAAGACTAAAGGGCCAATAGAATATTGACACAAACATTTCTATTCCCAATGTAGCACATAATGTTATAAAAGTCATTCGATGATTTGTGAATAATATGTAGTTGCCTCACCGTTAAATGGTAAAAGCAAACCCGCACCTTTTAACTCTAGGCAAGCAGAAAATGTTATGTTTCATTGAATTAAGCTGTTAATTTGAAAGATCCCAATGTCAGTTGATCCATCATTGTTGGTGTTTTGGGCCATGGTGTTATAGTTAGACTCCCATAGGCTGACTCCATAGTAGCCATCTATCCCATTAGCTCTGAGCGTGCAGGCCCATTCACAGCGCTCGAAGATTTTGGCATTGGCCGCAGCCAGGAAGAGCAAAACCAACAGGCTCCTCATGATGGTATTTTTGTTTGTCCAAATATGTCTAAAGCTGCTGCTGCTTTCCCCTGTTATTGGCAAAAATGCTCAGCTGAAAATGATGCGGCTGCCCAGGCTTGCTTTTGCATCAAAGTGGAAAAGCAAAAAAAAAAAAAATAGAGCTGTACAAACAAAGCATATCGATCCAGCAAAAAAAAATCCCCAAAGTTTGTACAAGTTCTAGATAAGAGGACCCAAATACGCACAAGGGAAGGGTTAGGTAAGATTAGAAATACAAGCAATGGTGGATTTAGAGTTTTAAAAAAAAATACAGCTGAACAAACAAAACACGTTGTTTGGGCTGAAATAGATTCCAGAGTTCTGGAAAGTTTCTTGTCAGTTTTTACTTAAGAAAAGGTCTAATCAAGGACACAAAGCATTCCATATTTACTGATTTATTTAGAGCACATGAGACCACATTTTCTTAATTTTTTAAATGAGGAATGAAAAACACTGAAAGAGTAGAGATTTTAACTGCTTTTAATCATTTGGGTCACCCAATATGTTTTCCTTTCAAAGTAGAAACAGAGAAGGATGGAGAAAATTTACTATGTCGATGACACCCTTCTGTTTATGTGTTGATTAAAGACGACATCCGGACAAATAGGGCCTGAGATCCTGGCCCTGACAGCGAGTGCGCCAGGCAACCCTAAAACCAGATTCAAAGGTCAGTCCAATGAACACAGAACTATCAGTGCTTCCCAATCACATAATGATCTGTTCTTACCAGGCTGTGATGCCTTGTTGCCTAACGATACGTTTGGCACAATTGATCGCAGAGGTGACATCATCTGTCAAAAGCACTGTGGCCAAAGGGGGAAAGAAAAAAGTTAACACTGTGGAATAATAAGGACAACATCTGGGAAAAGTGAGTCAAAGTGTTTTTTATCAAAAACACTTATATATATACACAAAATCAATATTACAGATTGAGAAAAGAAAGTAAATAAATCAGTTTTAGAATAAATCAAGAAATGTATTAAGCCACTGAAGATGATTTA